GCGCTGGTTCTTGTTCCAGCAGCCCTTCTTTCCATCCAGCTTCCTGGGATGACCTAGGCAGAGCACCGCCCGAAGCCGTGGGGCCTGCTCCCATGTGGGAGACCTGGAAGGAGCTCCGGGCTTTGGATTGGCTCAGCTCCGGCAGTTGAGGTCTTTTGGGTGGTGAGCCTGCAAATAGATCTTTCTCTGTGTAAATCTGGCTTTGGTATGTAGTTAATAACATAAAAGTAAAAAAAGGAAGGTAGGGAGAAAGGAAAGCAGGGAAAGAAAGAAGGGAGGGAGGGAAAAGGGAGGAAAGAGAAGAGAAAGAAGATGAAGTAGTGAGATTCTCCTTAGGTAGATAGTATTACAGTGCTATTTCCAAATCACAGATATCGAGAGTCTTCTATTTGGGTCAGAGAAGGAGATAAAGGTTACTGGAAAAAGTTCCTGAAAGATGAAATTAAAACAAATGGAAGGGAACTGTCTCCTTTTAACTATCTCCTCTGTGCTTGCCTCCTATTCATGTCTTGGAAATGAAGAACAAATAAGTTTAAGACATAGGCTTATTTTTGGGCAAAAAGCTTTTGAAATCTGGGCCCGGTGGCGTGGCCTAGTGGCTAAAGCCCTTGCTTTGAACACACCAGGATCCCATATGAGCGCCGGTTCTAGTCCCAGCAGCTCCACTTCCCATCCAGCTCCCTGCCTGTGTCCTGGGAAAGCAGTTGAAGACAGCCCAAAGCCTTGGGACCCTGCACCTGAGTGGGAGACCCAGAAGAGGTTCCTGGTTTCCGGCTTCAGATTGGCGCAGCACCGGCCGTTGCGCTCACTTGGGGAGTGGATCATTGGATGGAAGATCTTCCTCTCTGTATATCTGACTTTGCAATGAAAATAAATCAATCTTTAAAAAAAAAAAGCTTTTGAAATCTGAGTACTGATACTCTGAACAAGATTCAGTTTAGGAATTTTCTAGCTCAGATTCAAGGAAAATCGAGCTTCTCTTTGCTGTCTGCCTCTGAAGCCTCAGCACTTGCTTCAACAAGTGTATGCCATGAATACTGTGTTCAGTTCTTCCATTTGCCCTAGGATGAGTATACTCTGGAAGCAGAAACTGAGAAGTAGGTAAATATGTTGACTGGCTCTCATTGGTCATGGTATCTTTTTTTTTTTTTTTAAGATTCATTTATTTTATTGCAAAGGCTGATACACAGAGAGGAGGAGAGACAGAGAGGAAGATCTTCTGTCCGATGATTCACTCCCCAAGTGAGGCCAGGAGCCAGGAACTTCTTCCAGGTTTCCCATGCGGGTGCAGGGTCCCAAGGCTTTGGGCCATCTTCAACTGCTTTCCCAGGCCACAAGCAGGGAGCTGGATGGGAAGTGGAGCTGCTGGGACTAGAACCGGCGCCCATATGGGATCCCGGCGTGTTCAAGGCAAGGACCTTAACCATTACACTATCACACTGGGCCTGTTCATGGTATCTTGATAATGTTATTTGCTTGATTATGGATTAAGTATCTTGATTTCTGAGAGTTTATGGGTAGTTTCAATTTTATTTGTTTTTGTACTTGGTGTTCTATGCTTTTGGCTTCTTTAAGCTTTAAGAATTCTCCATTTTTCTTGCTGCTTTGGGCCAACTCAGTGCTTCTCATGCATATTTCTTACCTAGGTACCACCACTTGCCGCAGAGTTGCTGACTGATCATTAACTTTTACCCATTGTTTTTTTATTCACTCTTTTCTCTCTCTTTTTGAGTGCTTGTTGTATGACCTGGGTTTAATTTTCTTTCACCTTCTCTTCTATACTTTCCTTGTATAGGAATTTTTGTTATACTATTATTTTGAAGTTCTGCTGCATATTTAATATAGACCCTTTTACTATTTTCTGATTATTCTTTTCCCTAAATTTACACAGCTTGCACTTTCTAGTGACAAGATTGCTACACTACAAATGCCATTATTAAACCTACATCTAGATGTCAAAGAAAATGGTGAAGTAAAACCATACACTATTGAAATGAGTAAAGAAGAACTCCAGAATCTGATAACTTCCTTGGAAGCAGCTAATAAGGTATTTGACCTAATTTGTCATATACTTTAAGTGTTTTTGGTTAATATTATTAGTGTGGGAAAATCTGTGGGTCATGTAAGGCCCATGAAATCATTTGGTCTGGGCCTGCCAAGGCACTAGCAGGTGGGACCTGGCACAAGTTCAATTGGCTAATCCTTGCAAGTACCAGGATCCCATGTGGATGCCGGTTCATGTTCTGGCTGCTCCATTTCCCAAACAGCTCCTTGTTTCAGGCATGGTAAAGCAGTGGAGGATGGCCCCGAGCCTTGGGACCCTGCACCCTCATGGGAGACCCAGAAGAGGCTCCTGTCTCCTGGTTTTGGATTAGCTCAGCTCTGGCCATTGTAGCTATTTTTGAAGGAATGGTGGTGCAATTTTAACAGTTGCATTTCTTCTGCAGTGGGGCTTGTTGGTGATAACAATAACTTTTTTTTTAACCATGAGATTTGTTGATGCTAATGAGTATTTAGTGATTAAAACAAATAGTTATGATTTTTTTAAAGAAGAGTTTTATTTAAGTAGACAAAGTAATATAGGAGACCAGTGATGGCTGGTAATGGTTATGACAAAATCGGTTTGAGACAAGATGGCAAGTTGACAAACTTCATGTTTCTGGTGGAGTGACTCATTGACAGTAACTCCTCCTGGTATTTCATAAATGGGAAAAATAATGCTTAACCAGCAGAAACTGTTGCTGTGTGGAAGACATTGCAGTAACTTTCTCTGTAGAGGCATGCCCTTTCATTATTGCTCAGCATTTTCACCAGTGATAAAGTCTGTCTTCCTCTAGCTGCTAATCAGCCTGCCCTTTAAAATCCCTCATGTGTCTCAACTTCTCCCCATTCTCTCTGTTGGCTAAAATGTTTTAGTATCTTCCTGAAATGATGCATGCATTGAGTAACCAAATGGATTGTCTGAGCCTGACTTGCTTTTGGGTGGATTGGTGTGGGTGGTGTGTACGCGTAAAGCATTGTGAGGCAGAACCTGGCAAAAATGCTGAACAGTTCTGAGCCCAGCTCTGGGAGGCCAGTGTTACCAGTTACTGCATATTGCGCTTGTTTGCTGTGTGCTTGTTGTGTTTGGGGGTAGCAGCGGCATTGTGGTCTAACCTGGTATTGTCCTCTTCCCTGATTGGTGTTTGAAGGTGGTCCTGCAGTTGAAGTAACTGGAAGTGTCGAAGACCCACGCTGAGCAGAGTACGCTGCTGCCCCTCTCACGGCAGAGAGGTTCCTGTGTGCTTGTTCAGCAGCCCTTGTGTTGTATTGACCTGTCCACCAAGCTGAGCACACAGCAGTGTTGGCGATTTCAAAGAGAAAGAACAAGAAATTACGTGGTTGACAGGAAGAGCATCACATGAAAGATGAAAAAGCCATAGTAGCAGTTTATATTTTCATGTTTGTTTTGCCTCAGTTATTAAGTATTTGAAAATAAAATCTTTGTATATATATAATTTTATTGAAAACAAAAAGTAGGCTCTAAAGTGATGTAAGAGTACAAAGCACAAATATACTTGAATATTGCTTAAAGAATTATGTGAATAGCAAGGACACGTGTTATGAATATATACTTAATTTGTGATATTTAAAAACAACTTTCTTGAAGAATGTATAAGCCGCAATTGTAACTCAGGACATTCCATATCTTTCTTGTATTTCAAAGGAAAGATAATCAAGTGTAATGTTTCTTAAGATAAAAATTCTTTGTCAGATATGATTAGGAGAAAGCAAATTGGTGTGCAAGACTTTGAGTTTTGGAATTATTTAAGCTAAAATCTAGAACAAAGAGAATGGAACAGCATCGTTACATATGCATCAGTGTGTCAGGTTAGATGTTTATGATCTAATAAGAGGAATAGATGTCTGCATAGTATATTCAAATATCAGACAAAAGTAAGCTCTGTTTTTGTTATAGACTCTTAATATTGAATTTAACTCTTTTGAATATTAACAAATTCATTGGAAAGCAAACTTTTTAACCTCATTTAACTTTGATGACAAACATTCTGAAAAAATAAAAAGTTTTATTTTTATGTGTTGCTTGGTTTCAAGTGACTTCGCATAAGCAGTAGTAAGGACTGCATGAGGGATTTGAGCCTGTGCCTGGGCATTGTGGCACTTGCTGAGGGGGACTATGCAGTTTTTGCTATTTTCCTCTTACAAATGAAGATAGGATGACGAGGTGAATATGTGAATGTGACGTAAACAGGGCTGCTCACTGTGTGTCTGCAGAGAAGTGTGGCTTTATGGATTTGTTACAGGTGAGGGATTAGAAAGGAAGCTTGGGCCACAATATTTATCAGCATGTTGCTTTCTTTATTTGGAAGATTTGGCTATGAAGACATACCAGCTGAATTTTAATGTGCTTAGCATGCCTGTTGATTTTACCTTCTTGGGCAAAGGCCTTGTGTCATGCAGCCAGAGCAGTTTGTAGACTAGCAGTACAGGTGGCACTGATCTTGAGATCTCTTGTGAATTTCAGCCTTCTGTGCAGTGTGTGTCTCCGGTGCAAGGCCGAAACGCTGTCTGCTTAGTTCCCTCGTCCCCACATGGCATCATTGCATTAGCATATCTGATGGCTTCACTGAACTCTTTAGTGTTTTACTTTGTGTTCTGTACATAGTTTAAACAATTCAAAGAGCTATTTTTATTTGAAAAGTAGAGTTACACAGAGAGAAGGAAAGAGAAATCTCCCATCTGCTGCTTGGCTCGTCAAGTGGCTACAGAGGTGGGAGCTGAGCTGATCTGAAGCCAGGAGCCAGGTGCTATTCCTGGGTCTCCCTCCTGAGCGCAGGGATCCTAGGACTTGAGCCACACAAACTGGTGCCCACATGGCATGCTGAGGATTCATGTGTGCACAGCCCCATGCTCTGTATACATTTGAAGTGTGCAGTTTGAGTTTTGACATACATAGGCATGCCTCTGCAAGCATTACCAAAGTCATGCTAGGAAACGTGTTGATAGATATTGAATGTTACCTCCCACTGCTCCTGTCCTTGCTCTTGATGCCTTCTGCAAGGGACCATTAATGGATTGCTTGTCATATTGATTGATGTATATACTTAATTTTGACTCTGACTTTAAGTACTGCCTTGAGTTCTATCCTTGTTGTACATATCAATAGCTTGTTTTTTTGTTGAGAAGTAGTGTAATGTAGATTTTAAGAATATTTATAAAAAAATGTATTCAAGGGCCGGCACTGTGGCGTAGTAGGTTAAGTCTCCCCCTGCAGCACTGTCATTCATATAGCACTGGGTTTGGATTCTAGCTGCTCCATTTGTGGTCCTGCAGACAAACGGATGTAAAAGCAAATAAGTGGGAAAAGCAAAACAAAACAATCTTTAAGAAGAATTTATTTGAAAGACAAAGAATGACAAGGGAAAGAAAGATATCCTGTAGCCACTGGTCCACTCCCCAGATGTTTGCAATTGGGCCAGGCTGAAGCCAGCAGAATTCCACCCACATCTCCCATATGAGTGGCAGGGACCCAGGGACTTGAAGCTTCACCTGCTCCCTGTAAGAGTGTGAATATGCAGGAAGCTGGATTAGAAGCAAAACCAGGGCTCAAAGCCAGAGACTGATACGATATGTGAGCACGCCATGCAGTGACCACTGTGGCAGGTGCCTGTCCCCGGTGCAGAGTTGTGCCCTAATTGATCATTTTACCAATCACAGATATTTCGGTTGACAAGTTCTTGGCTTTTATAAAACAACATACTATGAACATCCTTGCATTCTTTTGAATACACTGTAGGGTGAAATGATTCCTACACTAACCCAACCCTACCAGCTGTGACCACTGGGGAGTGAATCAGCAGTTGGAAGACTGCTGTCTTTCCCTCTCTGTAACTCTGCCTTCCAAATAAATAAGGAAATCTTTTTTAAAAAAATCATTTAATTATTTATAATAATGAACATCTTTTAGTGTAATTTTTCCATCTGTACCTGCATCGTGAAGTTTCAGATCTGTTGCCCAGTTTTTATTTGGATAGTGTTTTTTTTTTTTTTTAAAGTATTAGATTTTCAGGGCCCAGCATGGTGGCCTAGCTGCTAAAGCTCTCGCCTTGAATGCGCCAGGATCCCATATGGGCACTTGTTCTAATCCTGGCTGCTCTACTTCCCATCCAGCTCCCTGCTTGTGACCTGGGAAAGCAGTTTAGGCTAGCCCAAAGCCTTGGGATCCTGCACCTGCATGGGAGACCTGGAAGAGTTCCTGGCTCCTGGCTTCGGATTGGTGCAGCAGTGCCGTTGTGGTCACTTGGGGAGTGAATCATTGGATAGAAGATCTTTCTTTGTGTCTCTCCTCTCTGTATATCGGACTTTGCAATAAAAAAATAAATCTTTAAAAAAAAAGTACTAGATTTTTAGAGTTCTTTAAATGTTCTGATTCTATATCCTATATATAAGGATACTTCCTAAAGTTCATAAAAAAATGAATGCTCTTTTAATTGCATTTTTACAGTTTCAAAGTACCTTAACATGTTTTGTACATATATTCCCCCTACACCCCATAAATCTTACTTTTTAAAGAACTATTTTAGATTTGCAAAAAATAGATTAAAATACCTCACATCATTTTTCCTTTTAGTGACACATTACTACGACATCTTTTTTTGCAAAGAATAATGCAGTGTTTATGAAATCTCATCATTTACTCAACCTGAGTTTTTACCTAATATCCTTTTCCTCGTTCAAGATTGCATCCTAGTTGCCATATCACATTTAGTTAGGTGCCTTCAGGTTCCCTTTGCTGTGATCATTCTCCAGACTTCCCTTTCTGGTACTATGGGTTTTATTTAAAGAGTGGAGGTGAGATATTTTTCACACGTCCTGTTTTTCTCATTGGACTGGAGTTACAAGTTTTAGAGGGGAAGCTCATAAAGGTTAAAGTACTACTTTGCCTGCTGTTATTGATACATGTCATTAATACGGTCTATGATTTGACATTGATCTTGATTACTTGGTGGAGTCAGTATGTGTCAGATTCCTGCACTCTGAAGTAACCACTCCCCTGTTCCGTAGGACTCCCTTTGGAAGGAAATCAGCATTTTCTGTCAGTACATGAGGAGGGGAGTGGTGTTTTCTATCAGTTTTGTCAATGTTTGCTCCATACAGTTGCGTAGTCTGATGGAGCATGCATGTCTATCTTGAATTGTTTTTTTTTCCCCCCAGTGAATTACCCTTTTCATCATTTTTTATCTCTTGCCTCTTTCTGTAGGTTATCTTCAGTAACTTCCCAAGTAGATGGATTTTTGAGTCTCAGATCAGGAGCTCATAATCTATTCTCTCAGTTTGTGGCACTGCAGAGTTTCTGGAGCTGTAACAAACCATTACACTTTTGTTTTCAGCAACTCCTAGACTTCTAGAATATTCTAGGTCATGCCCATGTTCCAAGCCAGGGAACTCCTTGAGCCTTAAACATCAGACACATTCTCTACTTCTATACTCCTGAAAGACAGACTGGAGCCATAGCAGCCTCTGTGTTCTGCAGGCACCCTAGAACTAAAGCAGACAGTACCATGCTTCTAGTGTATGCCGCATCTTCTCAGTACACTGAGACAACAACCTATCACTTGAACAACACACTGGAAGATCAAAATGTTCGATTCATGCTCCAGCTCTTTCCTTTCCCTGGGGGAAGCTGGAGTTGGCTATCTCCCCATCCTGGCTCCTTGGTGAGCTGGGTTGGAAGCCGACCAGTGAGTGCCATAGGTTTTCCCACTGGAGAGGCAGTTGGTTAATGCAAATGTCTCTTTATTGGTTTCTGGATTATTTTTTTTTTTTATTTTTTTTTTAAAGATTTATTTTTATTATTTTTTGATTGGAAAGGCGGATATACAGAGAGAGGAGAGACAGAGAGGAAGATCTTCCGTCCGATGATTCACTCCCCAAGTGAGTGCAACGGGCCGATATTATGCCGATCCGAAGCCAGGAGCCTCTTCCAGGTCTCCCACGCGAGTGCAGGGTCCCAAAGCTTTGGGCCGTCCTCGACTGCTTTCCCGGGCCACAGGCAGGGAGCTGGAAAGGAAGCGGAGCTGCCGGGATTAGAACCGGCGCCCATATGGGATCCCGGGCGTGCAAGGCGAGGACCTTTAACCACTTGCGCCACCGCGCCGGGCCCGGGTTTCTGGATTATTTACTAAAGGAATAGGTCTATCTACTGCTGACCTGGTATCTCAGAGGCAGGGGAGGGAAAGAGGAATCCATCCTGCTGTCACGTCGCTTTGCAGGTTTAGACACGTTGCTGCTCTGCGTGCTCAGCAGCCTTTGGTGTGTTCTGGGTTTGGGTTAGTTAGGAGTCATTTGACGGGTATTGCTATTCTGTGTTAATATTCTACTCCACAGCAATATCCAGTGTTGAGCATTTTTTTGGTGTGCATATCTTCTATCTGTACATCTTCTTTGCCAAGGTCTTTTTAGCATTTTTGTTTACTTTAAAAATTGTTTTCTTATTGTAGTTTGTAGTGTTCTTTGTGTATTTTGGATACACATTTTACTAAATAGATTTTGCAAGTATGTTCTTCCTGTTTATGACTTGTGTTTTAGGTCTGTTACCTGTGGTTCTCGAAGAGCTGAGGTGACATATCTTGATGTTGGTTGCTTAGTTCTTTAGTGGATCATGCCTTTGATGTTAAATAGAAGAAATTATTGTCTAACTCAAATTAGCAAGGATTATCCCCCATGTTAGAAGTTTAACTTGGTAATTGTAGACTGTTGAAAGTTATAGGATCCATGTTGAAATCTTTTCTGAACACAACAAATAGTTAAAAGAAAGGATGCCATGAACTCAAATGTGGAATAAATTGGATACCAGTGATAGCCCAAATACACTCCCCCAACACATACTTTCACTGATGTCTAGAGGAGCGGCCTCTTGCTTGTTGTGACAAACCTGGCATGCACTTCTGTCTAGAGATTTTCACACTGCTTATATGTGTTGCAAAGATGTTGATGTGAATGTTTGCACTGCTCTCCTTACTGCTCTTGTCTCTATATTGTCATTTTTCTCTGAGTGGGGAAGATTTGGCTTTCC